AGATAGAACAGAGATAGAGAATGAGATAGAACAGAGATAGAGAATGAAATATTTATTAAAGAAATGAAAAATTATCGCCAGTAATTTTCCAATTTCTAGAGGACAACCTTTCGAACGTTTTTATCCCCAAGTATTCGTTGGGACAGAGTATTAACACCATCTTCTTCCAGCGTGCTTTTATCAGCTAAACTCTTGCCACCTTCACCTCGGCCACCAATTTCTAATGTTGCAGTTAACTCGTCGTTGTTCGGATCAATTCGGAACTCTTCGGACAATCGACGACCAGTTCGACAATCGTACAGAAACATGCGGACAAAGAAAGGTTCAATCTGAAATTGATAGTTGATGCAAAACAATAACAAGAGATGGAAGATCGTAATACAAGTGATTCGCTGGAAGTGCAGTTCAATGTAAAAATATTAATGCTAGAAAGTTTTGTCGAACATCAACAAGTTAGCCAATAAAAACATTAATCTTTCATAATTCAATCGGCATTTTTATTATTATTGAAGATTCCCGATACTGAAAGTCATACTAAAGTCTTCAATATTTCAAGGAAGCACCTGTTTTACGCTTGTATTTGAAACAGGCAACACAATATTCAAGTTCAGGAACTCAACAATAAATCGAACCACAGCTTTATCTTCTGGAGGCCTTGTTACCTCATTCGCAACAACATTCGCCAACAGACAACCCGCTTCACTTTTTGGCATTGATAATCGCTAAAAAAATGATATTTTTCAGATATTGAAGTGAAATTTAAGGAGTATCGAAACTAAGAAGTTATTTCAAAAAAATAACTAACATCAAGATCAGGATATAATGCGAACACTGAACGCCTTTTAACGACAGGGGGCTGCAAGGCTTTTGAGACAGCGTTACGTCCAGCCCAAAAACAAGTCCCAAATAGCTCTTAAAAATTAATCATTCGTGATAAATTTGAAAATAATCTAAACATAGTCCATAAAAATATCTATCGAATCCATTTGCTGCCACGTAATGATTCAAAGACCAAATTCATAACTTAAAATTAACCAACCACTAGGATCATTACTTGCCGCAGAAGGTTGTTCGTCACTTGTTCTTGCTGTTCCCGCGCCTGATGATTCGTGTCCTATACTGGTACTCGTTGAAGCCATTCCATCTAGAACATGAGAATACAGATAAAACTTTAATTTCCTGCTAAACTGACAGTTTTGTAACGATATGTAGGAAAATTTTGTTGGGATTCAATATATTAGCATATATAAATTTTTAGCAAATGTCAGGTATTCTAAACATCAATGTGCTTATTTCGGATGATCATTCGCAGAATACTAATCACGATCTTCTATAGAGTCTTTTAATATTTGAAATTTCCACCTTTATAAACGTAAAACAGTTCAATTATATTTTTTTTATTTGGTATGAACAATTACTACGGCAAAAAGTATGCAATTCGTTTCATACTGGTATTACTGTTGCGTTATTTTTTTTTTGGTTTTCTGTGATGTTCATTTCTATACACACATATATATATATATACATATTTATCCATATATGTACGTATATGTGTATACATATATATATACATATGTATATATATATATATGTATATATGTATAAAGCTAATGCAAATTGTTTATTCACATCACGTTGTCGATGATGTCAACAAGAGGAAACAGAGAAAACAGTTGTGTGGCAGTTCAAAACCAGAAATGAATAACAGTCGATTGCTCACCGTAACATAATCAAGCCCTTACTAGCCTTTGCACCTCCTCCACTGCTTCGATAAATGAGTTTGTCATCCTTTTCTATTGATTCTGATAGTTCCGTCAAAGTTTGTCAAGTAAATAAACTGAGAAAGAGCCTATTACATTTTTTTCGGTTGTCTTCTCTTAATCGTATAAGTGTGGACAATGATTAAGAGAACACAATCGAATTTGCTGTAATATTTTGCTCGCACAACAGTTTGGTTTTCTGGATGTGAAAATCAGTTACTCGTTGAAACGATTTCATTTTTGCTTCCTTTTACTGAATTTGAAACATGCGCAAATACACGTAAAATTAGTTGCAAAGTTAAGGTTGTAAAATTACTCCAAATTTAAAGGAGCGAAAAACTCGTGCCACTTCCTCCCCACACCCACAGCTCGTGGTCCTTCATTATAACATAAGAAAACAAGTAACCTTTGCAATCGTTAGTCAAAGCACGATCAATCTCAATTAACCATCGAGGTAAATCGCTATCAGAATCAGCTGCTAAAACCCATGAACGCCTTTCTGCACCAAATCCACTCACCTCCAATGCATTTTTATTATTCAATCCTTTTGAAAATTTAGACGTGGAATATTGCGAAGTGAAAATATGCTTCGAGAAGTATTTCATGCCGTTCCCAGTCAAATGAGAGAAAATAAAAAAGCAGCTTATTCAAATATGGCATTATCAATCGAATCAAAAAACCAATTGAACTAGAATTGTCTGAATGGCAAAGTTTCTCCTCTAGAAAAACACTGGCCACGGCATATAAACATGTCTATTCAAATTTTACGTTACGGATTCAATCTCAACAATAAATTCAAAACCACATATAAAGAATTCTTGTACAGGAGATTTACGCTTACCTGATTTTGTCTCAACGAATGAGAACTAATCTGCATAGATGTTAGTGATGTTTGCACTTACTTCGAGAACATTTCTGCCTTTTTTACTAGTCGACAGAGCCGCTTGTTGTACAATCATCGGTGGATGTGTTAATGATGCAAATTGTGATTTTCGCATTTCCAGTAGAACCTTCCCATCTTCATCTTTCCTCAGCACACAGTAACGTTTCTTTATGCTCTACAAATGAATCATTTAAAATTTTTAAGATCTAGGTAACAGTTTTTATTCAGCTACTTCAATTCCTCTGCCACATATTAAGTTTGGTTGCTAAATCTATTTATGTGATAATAAAGATCATTTTTGAGTTTGTGGGATTTAGTCAATAAATCAAATAGAGTAATCCCTTTGTTTGAGGTATAGGAATCCATGTACATTTTTATGGTAATAGAATGATTTTATCGAGGATAACTGGATCAGAAAAAAAATCCCGCCGCATATATTGATAACTGCACCTCTGGATGGAGTTTGTCATCAACGATTGCTTACCTTGAAATTATCCAAAAGACTAGTTTCTGGAACAAGAAACAAGAAACCTTCACGAATAATATCTGAACTGTAGCGACACTCCAACTCCTGAAATACAAGTAAATTGGAATAAAGATTAATAAGAATTTACAGCAGGCGAAAAATCAGTTGATATAAAGAATAAAGGAAGAATTTACCTCTTTTTGTTCATCATAGACCATATCACTTTCATAAATTAGTGGCTCAAGATCAATATCATGACTGGAAAAAGAAAACTTTAGTTCCAAGTTTTGTCAATTATTATTATATTTATTGTTAATTAATAGAATCAACCTTTTAATAACTCATATTCAATTCAGATGTCATAAAGCTTTGTTTTTTACCAATCAGAGTTGATGAACGGGCTCAAAATTCCATTTTCCATAGTTGAATATACTTCAAATAAGAAACTATTATGCAGTCACTAATGTTTATGACAAAAACATAAGTGGTTTTTCCCAAGGAACGAATGTGAATAAAAGGTTAACAACACTGAAGGCTTACTCAGAACTATTGTAATAATCAGAACCGAACTGTACATAATTAAAACGGACAACACGATATGGAGCAATGTAAAATGCGAGGGCCTCTTGCGTAAGTAACCATTTTGCTTCTGTTATCTCTCGTAGACTTAATGATGGCACCACAGTACGTTCCAATGGAGATACTGATATTTCCTGAATTTTTTTGAAATTTTCTGTAAGTTAGGGAAAATTTTAATGCTAGTGAAAAGAAGCAGAATGGAAACCTGAATAATCTGCGAAAATTGAGTGTTTCGATGATATATTTGGGGGAATCCTTGCGACAAATCTCAAGTTAATTTTAAATTTGAATGTTAAAAGACTAAAAATACCGTGAAGTCATCGCGTGGGAACAGTAATAGTTCTCGCTGATTAAGATTTTCTATTATTGAGCTGTTCTCTCCCAAAAATTTCTCATAGTCCAGTGGCTCCGCCAATGGTCGTTTGCGCTGTAGCAATAAGAATTCAAGGAATTCAAAAAGTCGAGGACAATTTTTTTTCATTTGTATATCGGTCCAATCGGACGAAAACTCATACTTTAAACCAAGTTCAATTCGACTTAATAAATGCAAATCTCACTATTTAAAGAAAGGCTTAACTAATTAATAATGCAATAATAACCGTTGGATTCATTGTACTCATAGCTGTTCGCACCGCTTCACGGGCTTCTCGAGCCTGTCCTGGTTTCCCTATTCCAACAGTGAATCTAAAACTCCATGAAGTTATTCGAAGATTTATAAATAGAAATGCATCATAGTCAATCTGGAAGAACGCTGTTAGTCCCTCTGTTTTCTTTTAATGTTGTTTCCAGCCTATCTCGTGCAAGCATCTTTTAAAGGAGTTCAAACTTATATATCTTCTCGGTTTTATTTTCTTCGTTGGCATTCAAATTATTGTCACTCATACACTAGTTTTTTTCAATTATTTCGCTTCAAGTAAAGTGTTTTATAAAGTTAATTTATGTAAGATGATCACACGAAGTCGCAGAATGATGCCATTTTGAAACATCGGTTGTCATTCAGCAGTGAAACGATCAGAGAGAATGAATAATTTTTCTGTCAAAGAGACTGAATAACTTACAATAAAATTAAAGGAGATGAAATTAAATATCAAGCTTAATTATTTTTCGAGTTAACACGTTAAACCTGAGTTGAGTTGAAGTCTCATCAGTTTTAGTACAAAGTTTGTGGAATATTTTCTGGCTTAAAATTATACTTTCGCAGTTGTCCACCAGCTGATCGTTGACTTGCTACCTCCACCAAGCCACTACTGCTAGTACTGGAAACGGAAACCATGGAGCGACGATCCTCATATCGAGGTGTGTTACTTTTCATTCTGGAAATAAAAATAAATCATGGATTCATTTAGAGATAAATAACGTCAGGTATTTGTTCTCGTTGACAGAATGGTAAACAGTTGAAGTAAGTTTTTGTAAAATGACAAAGTGAAAAAAAAACTTTGCGCAAAATGACAACCAAGTGATTCTGCTAATTAAATAGTGTGCACGGTCCAACAGCTAATTGATAGCTTTTAATTAATGATAAGTGATAGTATTCATCGGAATCAATTGAATTATACATCCAGAAAGAGAGAGGGTTTAAATATTGGTTAATAACAGCTATTCTTCATTTACTGTTCATTTATCCTTGTCAAGTCTATTTGTTTACTCATACTTGCCAGTTCATGTTCGGTTATCACTTCATATCTGATTTACGCAAGTTTATCAGTGTTGAGATTATCATGGAACTTACGACACTGCTAAATCAGGAATCTAGATTTGAAAAAAAAAGATGGCTCAATTAGAGACGAACCTTGCGTAATATGGTCACGGATACGCATGTGGTTTCGGTATGCAACTCTGCTAGACCGTAGGCACAACCTATAATGTGGCGATGGCAGAGATTTTGTGGGAAAGTTTTCTGTCGATATTTATTTAGTTTTTTCGATTGGTGAATGGTAGAAGACTTGTAAAAATTCTAGCTATGTACACGCTTTTGTTCGGATTGTTGCATAGTCAAAGTCAAGAAGTTTAGACCTGTTAGGCAAGAGGCTTTTATTTGAATTTAAAGCTTAACTTCTTGAAAAGAATATTTCGGTACATTTATTTTATGCAAGACGGTTTATTACGTTGTCAATTTATTTATCATTGGATGTATATATCAGTTGCACTTGCTAGACTTGTTTATTTAGTACATCACTTGCTAATCCGTTACAGAAAGATGGTGTCGGTAGAAAGTCTCGTGTCGGAGGTGACCCCATTATTTGGCTATCAGTTAATGTTAAAAGCAGCGGATGAGTTATTTTTTGGTGACAAAATGCTCTACCACTATCACTCAAACGATGGATCAAAAAGGGAAATACCGGGTTGGTTTGCTATTAGTTATTTATTTATTTATTGTCTTCTTTATTCTACTCAGCATCGCCCTACAGCTTTATTCCTGTCGTTTCTCAGCAATGTCAGGTTATTATTTATTTCAAGATACTTTTTGAGTTGAAATTGAGTACTGTCATGTTGTTATTTATCCTGATTCCAGCAATCATGAAACTAAATGAATGGCGAATATACAAATAAGTTTTCTTCCGTTATTAGTTATTTTACTTGCTTTGCAAATAACATCGAATACACCACCTTTTAAATTCGTTTCAAAAATCCTTTTTTTACAGCTTATCTCGTAGTATTCAGCCTCAGAAGTAGAATTTCCTTTGTTGTATAGTGCATATCCGCCTTCTTATTTGCTGAATGACTAATAACTTCCAGCTCTCCAGTGTACGAGATCCTAAGAGTTTTTCAGGTAGCGGTGATCCAGAACGTCGCAAGGGTAAGAGCAAGGATCAAAAAAACAAAAGTCATAGTGACAGTGTGCATGAAAAGCCTGTTGGGTCAGATGGTCTACGTGACGCTATTGCTAGTGCCAGAAAGACATTGAAGCAAGCTCTGGAAGATACTAATGGTAGGTAAAGTTAGCATGTAGCTGGTAGTAAAGAAACTCTGTGTCTAGCAATCGCAATGACTTCTTATGCGATTGATGACGTGTATTTTACGTAATAAGAGATAGTCATTTTATTTACAGTTTCAGCCAATTTATTACATTAGTAGTTGGCATTATTTTGGACTGCACATTTGCAAGCTTCTTTACTCATTCACTTTAGTCCTTTCCCGGTAGTTGCGTGACTGCACGCTGGAAATATAAGTTTTCTTTCTTTTTCAATTCATTACGGTCTGTAAACATTTTGTAATCTTCAACTTAACTTATCATCGGTAAGTCATTTTCACTCCCTGGAAAATAAATTTTGTCTCTTTACCTGTCACATCGCTACCCTCATAGAGTGAAATACTTGCATCAAAAAAATTCAGTTCCGAGTTTCTGTATACGGTAAAACAGGAACCTTCGTAGGTTCATTTCGTTTCCAGATGATCCAGCTGCTGATGCTCTAACGAAATTAACTGAAGAAATTGCCGTATTAAAGAAAACTAGTGATCAAATGCGAAATGAAATTACAAAACTACGGGAAGATTTCCAGAAAATACTGGATTATACCCACCAGGTGAGTCACTTGTTTTTCAGAAGAAAAAGAAACTATTTCTTTATATATTTTTTGAACTTCGGGGCTTTGATTTCTGTAAATTAACACCATTCTATTGTCGTAACTTTATCGCCATAACTAATTACCCGTCTTTCTTCCAAGAAGTCATTTACTTCTCGTTTCAAGACACATTGTTTGCTTTTACATGGATAGTTTTGCAGGATTTAAGCCGCATTTTATAAAGCCTCGATAGCAACATGGCTTTATTTATTAAATTCATGTGAGATAGAGAATCCTCTTTGATTCGGGTAATAGGTGAAGTATTGTACCAAACGGTCCTTTTTAATGAAGTTGCGTTTCTAGTTGATAAGGGAGTTGTTTTTTATTTCTTTTATGCGCTTCAATTTCCTCTGACAGAATGTGTACTTAAGATTTTAGTATACAAAATGTGATAATTTTATAAGCAGTTACTAAAGCTCAGTATCATTTGCAGTTAAGACCTTGCATATCTTCCGCACTGGAAAGAGTTGGAAGTAGGACACTTATTCTGGGCGATGGCAATCTTTCGTTCAGTCTTGCATTTGCCCGTTTACATCCTGAGACCGAAATATACACAAGTGTTTTTGAGAGCTATTCTGAATATATTACGAAGTATCCTTCCGGCAAAAACAATATCATCGAACTCCGAACTAATCATCCTTATGTCCACGTCTTATTTTCGATCGATGCCTGTTTACTTCCGGAAGATTGGACCGGGTTTTACGATGATATTATATGGAATTTTCCCCATCACTGTGGGAAAACAAATCTTCGTAAAAGTCGTCAATTAATTCGGAAAGCATTTGCAAGTATTGGGCGATTGTTATTATCCGGTCGTTTCCATATTACTCTTGCTAAGGGGCAGAGTGGATTAGATCACTTCTCTATACTGTTTAATCAATGCTTCAAATACCGACGATTGCCAAAGCATAAGTCAGACAGCTGGAATATCATCTATGTAGCTGCTGAAGAGTACTTTATTCTTCAGGAAGCTTCCATTTTCCAACCAGAATTGTTCCCTTCATATGTTAGCTCAGGATATCATAATTCAGAACGATCTTTTAACGATAGAATTGGGTCGGAAACTCTTACTTTCATTAGAAGTCCTATCGTTACTAGAATCAAGAAACTCATTGAATTTGAAAATAGGATTTTTAGAATCAAAGGAGTAGCTCATGAGTGGAGACCATTTTTCCAGAGAGACCTATCAATTATTTATTTAAATCGAGAAAAAACTGCGGAGTTGGAAAGAACTTTATTTTCTTTGATTGAAGAACTCTGTGGGCGTATTTTGGTAAACTTCTATGAAGTTACAGACAGGAGAGCAGTTTACTTAGGGCAACCTAACCACATTTACCGTTTTGTGTGGCAGAGCTGGATGATTCCATTATCCAGAAAACTTTGTAATTCGATTCATGAGGAAATTAAATTGATGCTTAGTGATTGTTTCACCGAACAACATCTAGAAATGATTGTGACTTAGTTTGAAAGATTTTCAGTCTTTGTGTCTTTTCAGCATTCGTTTTCGAATAAATTGTTCTCGTTGAAGATTCGTGTTTTCTGCATTTGATGTTTTATCTTTATCTTTATTTGTTTAATAGCCCAAAGAAGTGGTATGGTGATATCTTGTTAATGTAATAGTGGAGCACGACGTCTTGAACTCTTTTCATTGATGTGGTTGTAGAGATTCACGTTCCTTCCCAAACGCTGTATTTGTCTTTTTTTTTCGAGATGTAACTAACTAAATTGTTAATATTGATACTTTTCAGAATCTTTTGAACTTTTTAAAACTTCAGAGGTCTGAATGACTTTGTTAGTTATATATTTGTTGTTGTTTTAG